CCTTGATGGACAGCAGTGGCCCAAGCCTACAATCCTAGTTATTCAGGAGGCTGAGATATGAAGACTGAGGCACAAAGCCAGCCTAGGCAGGAAAGTCCATGAGATTCTTATCTCCATTAACCACCAAAAGACACAAGTGAGCTGTGGTTCAAATGGCAAAATGCTAGCCTTGAGTCAAAAGCTAAGAGACAGGCTGTGAGCTCAAGTCTCAGTACCAGTACACACACAGACACGCAGACACATAGATACAGACACAGACACAGACACACACACACGCACACACACACACACAGACACACGCACGCACGCATGCATTATGCATCTTCTCTGAAGAAAAGCATACCAAACTGTACATGTAATTTCAGGATGCCTTGAAATATCAGATTAGTAATCCCTGCTCTAATCATTGATGACAGTTTGCTTTAAATAACACTCACAATTTAGCAAATTATTCTCACTTCAAACAATCTTCTATCTTTGCTTACTTCCTCTGTCAAGGTAGATGTTGACTAGAAATAGAAAACTGCAATGCATTATTACAGAACTCTTAGTACCAGCAATTTTTGTTATGTTATAGTCTAAAATAAGCACTAAGTTTTTGTGGTTGGTGACAGTACTTTTCATTTGGGACTTCTTAATCTGAGCGCGGTTGATGGACAATTTTCCACTCTAATAACATAATTAAAACTAAGGACACTGGAAATAGAACAAACAAAAATAGCAATAAATTACTTCAATGAATTGAAAAAAAATCTTTTGACCTTTAAAAAATAAGAGGTTTGGGGTTGGAAGAGAATAATTCACAGGAAACTGTTACCTATCTACATAAGGTATAAACTCAAGGAAAGAAAGCATAAAATCTTTACTGGAAGTACAACTAGAAAATAGCATGTGCCAAAGAAAATCACCCAGAAGAATTTGAAAACGAAGTTACTAGTTAAAATAATGTGAGATTGCTCAGAGAAGTAAGGGAATTTGAGGTCCACACGAATGTTATCATATCTGCATTTGGCTCACTAGAGCACGTTCAGAAAAGTAAGGAAAGCAAAAATGAACAGCAAAAGGATTAATAAATATGTGCAGAAGAGACAGGCAGAGTGTTTCATGCCTGTAATCTTAGGTACTAGTAAAGTAGAGATCAGGAGGATTATAATTCAAGGCCAGCTTGAGCAAAAAGTTCACAAAATGGGGACTGGGAATGTGGCTTAGTGGTAGAGTTCTTGCCTAGCAAGCATGAAGCCCTGGGTTCGATTTCTCAGTATCACATAAACAGAAAAAACAGAAGTGACATTGTGGCTCAAGTGGTAGAGTGCTAGCCTTGAGCAAAAGAAGCTCAGGGACAAAGCCTAGACCCTGAGTTCAAGGCCCAGGACTGGCCAAAAAAAAAAAAAAAGTTCACAAAACATAATCTCAACCAATAAAGGCTGGGTGTAATGATATGTGATGGTCTATCATCCCAGCTACACAGGAAGTATAGATTCAAACCAGCCAGAGCAGACTAAAAAGGGTTGTACATCAAGGTCATTATAACAAGATCAAAAGTCTCTGTGTATTTGGAAACTCTGTGTTGGGCACTGGTAGCAAAGAGTTATCAATCATGCCCTTGTCTTCTGGGAGCTCAGTATAGCAAGAAAGATAGATGCACATAGATAGACCTAATTCATCTGCAAGGGATATCTGCACACGGAATTATGGAAACACAGGGTGGGATCTAGAAGGCAATCCAGAAGGTTTTGGAGATGCTGCCCAGCAAGTGGTGTTGGAGCAAGGTCTGACATTCCATCTCACCCCAGTTAGAATGGTTACTATCAAGAAAACAAATAATAACCAATGCTGACAAAGATATGGCCAAAAGGGAATTCTAACACATTGTTGGTGGGAATGTAAACTTGTTCAACCACTCTGGAATGTGATGTGGAGGTTCTTCAAAAAATTAAACATAGAACTACCTTATGACTGAGTAATTTTACTCCTGGAATTTACCCAAAAGATTAAAAACCAGGATGTACACCAAAGCCATCAGCACAACTGTTTTTATCACAGCACTATTCATGATAGCCAGGGTAGAATAGCCCAGATGCCTCTCAGTGGAGGAACAGATCAAGAAAATGTGGTATATATACACAATTGAATTATATTCATCCATTACAGAGAATGATATTGTACCATTTGTACAGAAATGGAAAGACAGTGGTGGGATCTAAAGATTATGGTTCAAAGCCAGACTGGGCAGGAAGCTCATGAGACTTATCGCCAGTTAATCACAGAAAAAGCTGGAAGTGGAGCTGTGGTACAAGTGGTAGAATGCTAGCCTTGAGCAACAGGAACTCTGGGACAGCGCTGAGGCACAGAATTCAAGCTCCAGTACTAACAAAACAAAGAAATGGAAAGACTTGGAAAAACTTATGTCTGGGCTGAATATTGTATTCTTTATTTATTTATTTATTTTGTCAGTCATGGGGCTTGAACTCTGGGCCTGGGCACTGTCTCTCAGCTCTTCAGCTCAAGGCGAGCGTTCTACCACTTGAGCCACAGCGCCACTTCCTTGGAAACAATTATGTTAAGTGATGTAAGTCAGGCCAGAGAGAAAAGGATGCATGTTTTCACTTATATGTGGAAGCTAGATTTAGCTTACAAACTCATAAGTAAATACGTTGGATGGTATGCTATTGTATACAAATGTATTAACTGAAATATGATAGACTTCAAGGGAGATCTCAAATAGGGTAAATCCTTAGGGAAATGAAATCAAAGTTCAGCAAAATAAAATACAAGGAAGTAGGTACTCAAAAGGGGTGGAGTGGAGTCAAGGGAAAGAGGGTAGAAAAATGAAGATAAGACAAGGGGGAAAATGCACTTAGAGGAAGAGGAAGAAGATGAGAGAGTGAGAGTCAAGAGCACCGGAAGCCTAAACCAGAGTCCAGTCCTCAGTATCACACAGAAACAAAAAAGAGAGAAAGAGATGACATCAAACTCTGGCTTCACTTTGCGACCTTCGGCAAGTCATGAACCTCCCCAGGCCTCCCCTTCCGAGTCTTGACTGATTCATTGAGATTCCTAAAGTGATTCTGGCTAGTTTTCCTATAAAAGGGTAGGGTTCAAGAGAAAGAAGATGCTCCTACTTCCTATAACATTTCACAAGTGTTATATCAGAAACTTCGTGTAGCATGAAATCTTAATCTGACCATTTACAAAGCTCTTCATCAGGTATTTTCTAATTTTGTCCTAACCACCATCCTATAAGTGCTCTAGAATTCCTATTTCATAGATGAAGACACTGAGATCACACAAGGCTGAAGTAATCCCAAGGTTAGCTTTCATTAAAGTAAATCTTTTTCTCTTCATCAAAAGATTCTAGCTAGTACTACTGGTTCACACCTGTAATCCTAGCTCTTCAGGAGACTCACATCTGAGGATCACAGTTCAAGGCCAGCCCAGAAGACAAATATGAGAGACTCTTATCTCCAATTACCAGCAATTAACTTAGGCTACAAAGTATAAAATGCAGTAGCAAAAGAGCTTAACTTAATCCATCTATTTTTGTGCAATTGGTATAAATAAAACATTGAGTTAGACCAGTGACTTTACTTTTGTAATAATTATTTTTCTCTCTGCTAACTACAGGTTGTACAAGGTCCTACATGGTTCATTTTATACCAGTGCATACCAAAACATGCTAATACAACTAACCAAGAAGCAAAGAAATCTTAGATCTTCACAAGAGAGATATAAACTTCAATTATTTATTAACTATCTTCCTCTTGTTAATTGAGTCATTAAAAGTTCATTCTATATAGAAAGGATATTATTTATATCATTGACAGTTGTAAACATCTCGACTTTGTTTTCTAAACTACTGATTGTAGCCTCTTTCCTAAGTAAATGCATCTTTAGTTTTAAAAAATTACGCATATATTTTTCTAGGTAGGCAAGATATCATAAGTTAATTCTTAGAAGAGTTTAGGTTATATAATTATTTTATAAGGTTGCCCTCATTTCTCAAGCATTCAGCACTTCGAAATCAAGGGCAAATTTTATATATTTGTAAATCTATAATTTTCCATTTGACTGCCTTTTATTTGTAAGTTCGACATAAAACAAATCAAAGGACAATTGCTAAGCAGGTAGTTTATGCCCAACATAGTGGGTAACAGCTGCAGCTTACCTAATAGAAAGGATAAAATGCCTCCTGTTATAATTTTGTGCTTATATCAGAAACATGTTAGCCGGACACTGGTGGCTCCTACCTATAATCCAGCTACTCAGGAGGCTGAGAAAAGAGGCAGAAGCTAGTAGGGCTGAAAATTCTCTGAAACTCTTATAGCCAATTAACCAGGGGGAGAGACTGGAAGTGGAAGTGTAGCTCAAGTGATAAGCCTTGAGCCAAAAAAGCTAAGTGAGAGGGCAAAGTTGTGAGTTCAAGACCCAGTAGCCACACACACACACACACACACACACACACACACACACACAAGAAAAGCACTACAGGTTGATGCTGAGGGTCTGACCACATCTTGTCCTATGCCCCATCTCTGTTGGCTTGTCAACCATCACTTGGTGATGAACTCCACAGAGATGGAAATTCAGAATTGATCTGACAGGTTGTATTCCAGAACTCCAGCCATCATGTGTCCCTCATCACCTGGAAACAGTGCCCACCAGCAGATCTGAGGGGTTTGGAAAAATTATCCTGGGAGGGAATTTGATAAGACACTCATTAACAACAACCTGAAAGGACCTGGGCTTTCTTCTTCAGATCACAGCTGCAGTGACTTCATCCAGTTCACATTACCGTTCATCCTGAAAAATGAAAGAGGTTAACCCAGCCTTTGTGGTGCCGGCAGGGAGGATCCATTTCAACTCCTCACACAGGTGAACTCCTCGCATAGATTTCCAAAGAGCAAAACGACCTGACTACCCGTAGCTGAGCAATCCCATTGGGCAGATTTCTTGGTTCGAACATCCTAATGCTAAAAGGGAAGCGCCAATGTCATACTCACTTTTAGTTTCTTGTTTAGTTTACAGCAGTATTTGTACACCATTGCCAAGTTCAGAGGTCCAAAATCTGCATAGAAACTGAGACATAAATAAAACATCACATTTAGTACAGGTACGATTTTCAGTATCATTAATGGTCATTTGGAAGTTATTTTTAATACTAGGGTTTGCACTTGTTAAGGCAGGTATTCTGCCACTTCTGGTTTCAGCCCTTTTTTGCTCTGGTTATTTTTGAGATAGCGATTCACTTTTCATCCATGCCCACTGGGACTATACTCCTCCTATTTTCGCTTGCTACAAAGCTGGAATGACACTTACATGCCACCACACAGGCTCATCCACAGCATACAGGGAACAGATGTGGAGGGAAACAGAAGCTAAGCCTTTTTCATACCCAGCACATCTAGCTTGTCTCACATGATCTACGTTTATGATCCATCATTACTTTGTCTTTGGTTTTTCAAATAAGCTACTCGGAATCCATTCCCAGAGGTGCCATTGTTGAAAGCCCTATTGCAAATTATTCTACATGAGAATCTCTATGGGAAAACTTTTCAACAACTCAGTAGAAAAATAAACTACATTCCAAGCAGGAGCCATTCATTTCAATACAATTTTTGACCACCTAGGAGGGCTGTGAGAACGGCTCAAGTGACAGAGCATCTGCTCAGCTAGGCACTAAAGCCTTGAGTTCAAACCTCAGTACCGCCACAAAAAAATAAGATAAAATTATAAATAATATGATCGCCTACTCTAAGCAAGACCCTGCAAGTTTACATAAAAAAGTGCTTGTAGCTCACTTCTAGCTCCTCAGGAGGCTAAGATCTGAGGATTGTGATTCAAAACCAGTTCTCAGATCTCAGGCTTCTCAGCCACATCTCACACATGAGCCACCATAGCCTGGCATAATAATCACATTGTAAGCGTATGTGTGTGTATATATGCACTTGTGCGCACACACACATGTGCACGCGTGTCCTGGGGCTTGAACTCAGGGTCTGGGCTCTATCCTTGAGCTTTTCTTTTTAATTTTTGCCAATCCTGGGGCTTGAACTCAGGGCCTGGGCACTGTCCTTGAGCTTCTTTTGCTCAAAGCTAGCACTCTACCACTTGAGCCATAGCACCACTTCCAGATTTTTCTGTTTATATGATACTGAGGACTAGAACCTAGGGCTTCATGCATGCTGGGCAAGCACTCTACCACTAAGCTACGTTCCCAACCCCTGTCCCTGAGCTTTTGTGTTCAAGACTAGTGTTCTACCACTTGAGCCACAGCTCCACTTCTGGCTTTCTGATGGTGATGTAGAGAGATAGGAATCTCAGAATTGGGCTGGGAAGGTGGCGCAGTGGTAGAGCGCTTGCCTTGCATGCATGAGGCCCTGGGTTCGATTCCTCAGCACCACATAAGCAGAAAAAGCTGGAAGTGGCG